GTCATTGCATCGCTTTGGAGTAGTTAACTCAATTTCCAATTCTCCATTTCATCATTACTGACGCATACCTTTAGGGCTACCTTAGTCGAGTCTTAAGTCTTTCTATTGGATCTCTCAGTAAAGACCGATAAGGTTAATTTTCATTTAAATGATCTTGCATTTTTTCCACAACTTAACTTTGCCATGACTACCACTACTCTACCTTTGTAGGCTTTCATTACGATTAGATTACTACCACAGAGATATATAGAAACCCTAATAAGATTACAATCTTTCTCAGGCGGTATTATCTGGTAAAAAAGTGGGATCATCTCCAGTTCAATACTATTCCTTACCTCTTCAGGCAATTTATCAGATAAGCTAATTAATTTAACAAGTATTTCTGGAGAATGGTTTACCTCATTTGGAAGAGCAAAATTTAATCCTCTTTTCAATACAAGTGCTACACTATTCCACCAGAGTTGTACTAGATAAATTGATTACTTTATCCTTCCCCACTTTGATACAACCATGGTTAATACGACTTACCTTAGGCGCAAAGTTTTTCGACCTAATTCTAATTCCTAAGTTCCGAAGCTTCATATCATATATCCCCACTATGTTGTGAGGAGACCTTACATTCCCATTAAATTTCACATAGTCTTTCTTTCTCAAAAGGTATTCTCTTATCCTGGCTGAAGTAGACTGCAGCTTCGACCTCGCCCAAGCAGGCCTAATCGGCACTTCCAGAGGGATTCGAACCATGACAATGCTATGCATAGTCTCGACACGTCAGCTGTTACGTCATACTGCCATGAGTGCCTTTGAATCACAGGGCAGATGTGAATTTCAAGGAAGGCCATATATGAATTCAGTTCGCATACCTCATATATATGCTCTACTGGTAGTCTCGAAGACCTACTTATAACCGAAAATGTGTAATGTAGTCGAGTGATATAGCAAATGCAACTTTGGTTCATCGACAGTCCCAACAAATAATGTAATATGGGAAAATGTCTGGTCTTCCTTAATATGCCTATCTGCCCTGTGACACAATGGCACTCATTGAAATGTGGTGAAGAGGTTAACGTGTCAAGATTATCCGTTGCACTACCATGGTTCGAGTCCTGCTGGGGGTGTTGATAGCACCTAAGCGAGATCGAAGCTGCAGTCCACCCTGGATGAGGATGCCTTTTAGGAAAAGCAAGGCTGTGAATTTTCACGGAAATGTAAGGTATACTCATTACATTGTGGGAAACTTCAGCTAGCCGCACCAAAAGAAATATGGTGAATAAACTTCATATATAAAAACATTAGTGCCTGCTCAATATTCATTTTGAATGGAAATAAAGTATTTGTCCTCGAGAAAGCTTCACAGCAAGCGAGTACTAAATAAAACGTAAATCTGATAAAAATGTCGACTTGCCTTGGTTACCAGAGGCTATACGAGGCAGCATTAAGCAGCAATTGATGTCCCGACCATGGAGACCAGGCTGAAAGTAAACAGTTTCAGATGCGAAAGATTCCGCTCAATAAAATGTAATTACTAAACCATTAATATTGTAACTTTTCTCATGCTTATAAATAAAATGTAGCTTTAAAAATAAAATACGGGTAAGATAATGTGACAT